CCCACATCCCACCCCACACCCCCCACCCTGCACCCCCGTCCAACCCCCCACCCCAAATCCCACCCCTCCACCCCTCACCCTCCAATTCCCCCCTTCCCATTACCCCTCTCTTCACGCCGGAACTCATCCCTCCCGTATTCCTCTCTCCCTCCCCAACGCTCCATGCGGTCGTCGCGCCGTTCGTAGCGCTCCTCGTAGCGGTCGCTGCCGCCCCGGAAATCGTCGTCGCGACGGTAGCCACTGCCGAAGGCCCTCCGGCCGCTGCCGATGCGCGAGTTGTAGCCTGGGGGGTGCAGAGCTCAGCCCCCCTGCGCCCGCAGTGCGGGGACTTCACCCACAGCTGCTGGGAGTCACCCTCAGCTATTGGGATTTACCCGCAGGGAATGGGATTCAGCCTCAGCTTATTGGGATTCAGCCTCAGCTATTGGGATTAAGCCTCAGGTGTTGGGATTTACCCTCAGATGTTGGGATTCAGCCTCAGATACAAGGACTCATTCTCAGATATTAGGATTCACTCTCAGCTATTGGGATTTACCCGCAGGTAATGGGATTCAGCCTCAGCTTATTGGGATTCGGCCTCAGCTATTGGGATTCAGCCTCAGCTTATTGGGATTCAGCCTCAGCTTTTGGGATTCAATCTCAGATACAAGGACTCAGTCTCAGATATTAGGATTCACTCTCAGCTATTAGGATTTACCCACAGGTAATGGGATTCAGCCTCAGCTTATTGGGATTCAGCCTCAGATATTAGGATTCACCCTCAGCTATTGGGATTCACCCGAAGGTAATGGGATACAGCCTCAGCTATTGGGATACAGCCTCAGCTATTGGGATTCATCCTCAGCTACTGGGAATCAACCTCAGATACAAGGACTCATCCTCAGATGTTGGGATTAACTCTCAGATACTGGGATTCACCCTCAAACATAGGGTTCACCCTCAGCTGTTGGGAATCACTCTCAGATGTTGGGATTAACTCTCACATATAAGGACTCACCCTCAGTTATTTGGATTCATTCTCAGGTATTTGGATTCACCCTCAAACACAGGATTCAGCCTCAGCTGCTGGGATTAACTCTCAGATACAAGGATTCACCCTCAGATGTTAGGACTCAGCCTCAAATACTGGGAATCAATCTCAGATACTGGGATTCACCCTTAGGTGTTGGGATTAATTCCCAGGTATTTGGATTCACTCTCAAATATTGGGATTAACTCTAATGTGTTGAGATTCACCCTCAGCTATTGGGATTCACCTTCAGCTCTTGGGACTCACTCTCAGATGGTGGGATTAACTCTCAGGTGTTGGCATTCATCCTCAGCTATCGGGATTCAGCCTCAAATATTATGATTAACTCTCAGATACTGGGATTCACTCTTGGGAATTTGGATTCATTCTCAGATGTTGGGATTCACCCTCAAACACTGGGATTAACATCAGGTATTTTGATGCACTCTCAAATATTGAGATTAACTCTCAGGTGTTGAGATTCACCCTCAGCTATTGGGATTCACCCTCAGATATCAGGATTTGTCCTCAGCTATTGGGATTCACTCTGCAATACTGGGATTAGCTCTCAGACACTGGGTTTTTCCCTGCTGTTGGGATTCCCCCATACTCCTACTCCCATCCCCACGTGGCAGCACTGCCTCACCCCGGTCGTAGTCTCTGCTGCGGTCATCGTAGCGATCTCTGCCGCCGAAGCCGCGGTCCATGTCGCGCCGCGGGCCATCGCGATACCGATCGTCGTAGCGATCCCGATACCCTGCAGGATGGGGCCGACAGGTGGGGTCAGGGCTCACACTACCCCATGTCCACAGGTCTTTGTACCCGTGTTGACCCTGACTCACTGTCCCCGAAGGCGTCGTCCCCGCGGCGTGGTGGGAAATCATCGAAGCTGTCGGAGGCGGCGGGACGGGCGCGCCAGTCGCTCTCAAACCTCTCTGAGTCCCGGAAACGGTCACGGTCCCGTCCAAAGCAGCGATCGTCCCGGTCTGAGGGATGGAATGGGGAAGGGGAAAAGAAAGGGAAAAGGGAAAGGGGATGAGAAAAGGGAAGGGGGAAAAGGAAAGAAAGAGAAAAGAAGAGTAAAGGAGAGGGGGGATGGGAAAGGTGGAAGGGAAATGGGGAAGAGAACAGGGAAGTGGGAAAGGGGAAGGAGAGGGAAAAGAGGAAAAGAAAAGGAAAGAGGGAAAGGGGAAGAGAAAAGGGAAGGGGGAAAAGGAGAGAAAGAAAAGAGAAGGGAAGGGAAGGGGGAATGGGGAAGGAGGAAAGGAAAGGGGAAAGAGAACAGGGAAAGGGAAAGGAGAAGGAGGGGGAAAAGAGGAAAAAGAAAGGGGGAAAGGAAAAGAGGAAAAAGAGGAAGGGAAAAGGGAAAGGGGAAGAGAATAGGGAATGGGGAAGTTCGAAGGGGATGGGGAACAGGAAAGGGAAAGGAAAGGGGAAAGGTAAAAGGGAAACAGGAAAGGGAAGGAGAGGGGAAGTGGGAGAGCATGAGATTGGGACTGGGGACAGAGCGCAGTGTAGTGACCTGCATGTGGCAGGGAGCACCGACGCTCTGGAACCACACAGTGCTGTGCCACTGTGTGACAGGGACATTGATGTGGGGACAGTTTGGTAGGTTCCCCACTGCTGAGCCCCTGCTGTTCCCTAAACCAGCCTCCACTCCAGCCTTCATCCCAAAAGACTCCAAATTCGGAGTTTCTGACCCAAACAGGCAGTGGATGTTCAGTGGAGCACAGCCGGGCTGCATGCAAACCTGGCTGAGCCCTAGGAACTCACCTTTATCCTGAGCTTGGTCAGCAACATCCACTCGTATCCTTCTGTTTCCTAGAGACTAGAGAAAAAAAAAAAAGAAAAAAAGCGAGGAATCAGTCCCCAGGAATCAACCCCAAACTCTAAATATTAGCCCCAACCCCAAGAGATCGGTGAGAGCGAATGTTGGGGTGATGCTTGAGCACAGAGCAGGCAGCTTGTGCACCTGGAGGCTCTCCTGGAGAACGAAAAAGCCAAAGGTCTGCTCTTCTAGGGATTCTAAAGGCAAAGTTCTGCTCTCCTGGAAACCCTAAAGGCAAAGTTCTGCTCTCCTGGTGGCCCTAAAGGCAATGTGCTGCTCTTCTGGGCACACCGAAGGCAACGTTCTGCTCTCCTGGGGGCCCTAAAGGCAATGTTCTGCCCCATTTCATCCCTCCCCCCACAGTTCCGCTGGCCCCAGAGAGGTCCACACTTGGTGGTGCCACTTTGATGCCTCTTAGGGTATGCAGAGCCCACCCTGCTGCTGACGTTTGGGGTCCTGTGCTCACCTCCTCATTGAGGCTCAGTGCCTGAAACAAGGAGTCGATGTCTTCAAACTCAGCATAGCCAAAACCTTTCAACCTCTCGGGGTTGGTGGGCTCCCGCGGCAAGCGCACAGCACTGATCTGTGGGGAAGAAGGAGGAGGAGGAGGAAAGAACGCGTTAGGGCCACTGTCCTGTGGTCAGAAGCAAAATCATGGGGTTGTCTGTGAGCACGTGGCTCACTGCTATCCCTGGGGGTCGCCATTTTATCCATTTTATCTACCATTTTATCCATTCAGTAGAACCCAAAGCCATCAGATGGTCTGTAAGGACCCTTCCAACTCAACCATCCTATGGTTTGACAACCTTTCAGGATGCTTCCATCCCAGCCATTCTTTGATTCTATAATATTGAAGGACCCTTCCAACCCTTTAAGGACCTTTAAGGACTCTTTCCACTCAATCCATTCTACGGTTCTGTGGTTTTGTGATCTTCAAGGACCCTCCCAACCCAAGCAGGTTCAATGGCTCTACGATCTTGAAGGTCCCTTCCAACCCAACCATCCTATGGTTCCATGATCTTCAAAGACCCTTCCAACTCAACACATCCCATGGTTCTGTGATCTTCCAGGACCCTTCCAATCCAACCATTCCATGGTTTTATGATCTTCAAGGATGCTTCTAACCCTACCATCCCATGGTTTTATCATCTTGAAAGACCCTTTCAACCCAATCGTCTCACAGTTCTATGACCTCGAAGGACCCTTGTAGCCCAACTATCCCACGGTTCTATGATCTTCAAGAACTTCTCCAGCCCAATCAGTCCCATGCTTTTATGATCTTGAAGGACCTTTTTATCATTCTAGGATCTTGAAGGATCCTTCCAACTCAACCATCCCATTGTTTCATGATTTTAAAGGACCATTCTATCATTCTAGCATCTTCAAAGACTCTTCCAACCCAATCACCCCATGACTCTATGATCTTCAAGGACCCTCACCCCATTTTGGCACCGTGAACACTTCCAAGCACCGTAACACACCTTTCCATGGCACGCAACACGATCACTCCCACTCCCAAAATACCACAGAATCCCACCAAACCCACGCCGAGATCACCGCACCATCCCGTGCCCCCTGTGTGACTCACATTGAGGCCCCTGAAGAAGTCCTTGATGGAGTCCTCGGTGACGTCGTAGGGCAGGTTGCCCAGGAAGGCCGTGTAGGGCGGGCACTTGGGCAGGCGGCTGCGGTCGATGTTGGGCTCACGTGCGGCGCGGGGGGCGGTGGGCAGCAGCGAGCGGTCGATCAGCGGTGCCCGGTACACATCATCATCGTTGCTGTGCCAAGCGGTGGAGACTGTGGGAGAGAATGGGTGGGCTGCAGGAGGTGGCCATGGCGTGGAGGTGGTGGCCATGGGCTAAAGGAGGTGGCCACCATGTGGAGGTGGTGGTCGTGTGCTGCACGGGGTGGCCACTGTGTGGAGGTGGTGGCCACATCATGTAGGTGATGGTCACGTTGTGTAGATGGTGCCAAGAGCAGCAGGGAATGGCCGTTTGGAAGTGGTGGCTAAGAGCAGCAGGGGTTGGCCACAGCATGGAGGTGGTGGCCATGGGCTGCAGGGCATGCTGACAGCATGGGGGTTGTGGCCATGAGCTAAAGGGGGTGGCCACCACGTGGATGTGGTGGTCATGTGCTGCAGGAGGTGGCCACGGGCTGCAGGGGGTGGCTACAGTGTGGAGGTGGTGGCCATAGGCTGCAGGGTGTGGCCACTGTATGGAGGTAGTGGCCACATCATGTAGGTGATGGTCACATCATGTAGGTGGTGGCCAAGAGCAGCAGGGAGTGGTCACAGCATGGAGGTGGTGGCCATGGGCTGCAGGGAGTGGCCACAGCATGGGAGTGGTGCCATGGGCTAAAGGGGGATGGCCACCATGTGGAGGTGGTGGTCATGTGCTGCAGGAGGTGGCCATGGGCTGCAGGGGGTGGCCACTTTGTGGAGGTGGTGGCACATCATGTAAGGATGGTCACGTTGTGTAGGTGATGGTCACATTGTGTAGGTGGTGGCCAAGAGCAGCAGGGAGTGGCCACGGCGTGGAGGTGGTGGCCATGGGCTAAAGGGGGTGGCCACCACGTGGAGGTGGTGGTCATGAACTGTAGGGGGGGGGCACAGTGTGAAGGTGGTGGCTATGGGCTGCACAGTTGGCCAGAGCAGGGAGGTGGTGGCAATGGGCTAGAGGTGGTGGCCACATGATCTAGATGGTGGCCATGTGCTGCAGGTGGTAGACACATCGTGCAGATCGTGGCCACGTTATACACAGTGCCCGCCCCACGCCAACAGTGACCACCCCACAGAGAGGGTGGTCACCCCACACAGACTGTGGCCCCTCAACATGGACAGTAGCCCCCCAAAACAGACATTAGCTGCCCTAGGCTCGCTCTCACCCCTACCGTCGCCGTCCAGGTCATCGGTCTCATCGGCCCAGCTGACTGGCTTGGGGATGTAGGTGGGCGCACCGCTGCCGCCATCCTCCGCCAGGAAGTCAGTCAGGGTCAGGGTCTTCCCCTTCTTGTTCTTCTTCTTGGCTGCTGCAGGGTGGGGTGGGGTGGCCAGATTGGCACCAGGGCTCTGTCTGTACCCCACAACCCCCCTCCCACTGGCAGTGGGATGTGGGGAGGGGGGGTAGGGGTCAAGAGAAGCATGCGGAGTTCTCTGCATTCACACACAGCTGCCCCAAGTCAGTGAGGAGCTCTGCCAAAATGGCATGGGTGTCACCAAATCAGGTGTAGAGCTCATCGGAATAGGCACGGAGGTCACCAAAACTAACATAGGGGTCACCAAAATGGGCACGGGATCATCAAAACTGGCACGGTTGCCAAACTTGGCAGAGCTTCTCAAGATCAGCATAGAGGCTGCCAAAATCGCACACAGTTCCCCAAAATCAGCTCGGGGTCACCAAAACTGGCACAGGAGTCATCAAACCTGGCACAAGGATCCCCAAAATTGGCACAGGGGTTGCCAAAACTGGCACAGAGGGTCACCAAAAGCACATAAAGATGCCTAAAAACATGTTGAGAACGCCAAAATCTCACAGAGCTCCCCAGAAACATGAAGAGGTCTCCAACACCAGCACAGAGATCACCAAAACTGACACAGAGCTCCCCAAAACCAACATGGGGGACCAGCAAAAGCACATGGAGACATCCAAAAACATGCAGAGCTCCCCAAAATCACACAGAGCTCCCCAGAACCAGCATGGGAGTCAACAAAACCAGCACGCTGACTGCACACTGCACAGGGCCAGCACCACAACACTGCCATCAAGAACAGAGCCCAGCAGCACACAAACATGATGATGGTGCACTGCACGAGTCCCAGCAGTGCATGGGGTGGTGTTGATGCACTGCATCGTGCCTACAGTGCCCAAATGTCACTGTGCATTATGTAAGGCAAGCACCACTGTGCTACACCACACACTGCACAGAGCCCAGCAGTGTACAGATGTGATGAAGGTGCACTGCATTATGCCAGGCATGTCCAGATGTCACTGCACAGTGCATAAAGCCAGCACCACAGCACTGCCACCACACACTGCACATGGCCCAGCAATGCACAGAGAAGCAATGGTGGTGCACTGCACGAGTCCCAGCAGTGCACGCTGGTGTTGGTGCACTGCATGATGCCAGCAGTGCCCAGATGTCACTGCACACTGTAGAAGGCCAGCACCAGTACTGCCATCAGCACTGCACACAGCATAGCAGTGCACAGGGTGGTGTTGGTGCACTGTGTGGGGCCAGCAGGGCCTAGATGGCACTGTGCATTGTACGTGGACAGCACCACAGCACTGCCACCACGCACTGCACAGAACCCAGCCCTGCACAAATGTGATGATGGTGCACTCCACGATGCCAGGAGTGCCCAGATGCCACTACACATTGCATAAGACCAGCACCACAGCACTGTACCACACACTGCACAGGGCCCAGCACTGTACAAATTCTGATGATGGTGCATTGCACAGTTTGTAGCAGTGCATGGGGTGGTGCTGGAGCACTGCATGGGGCCAGCATTGCACAGATGTCACTGTGTATTGCACACGGCCAGCACCACAGCACTGCACCACGTACTGCACAGGGCCCAGCAGTGTCCAGATGTGATGAAAGTGCACTGAATGACCCCCAGCAGTGCACAAACATGATGATGGTGCACTGCACAATACCAGCAGTGCCCAGATGTCACTGCATATTACACAAGGCCAGCACCACAGCACTGCACCACGCACTGCACAGGGCCCAGCACTGCACAAACACGATGATGGTGCACTGCACGGGTCCCAACACTGCACGGGGTGGTGCTGATGCACTGCACGGGCTCAGCAGGCCCCAGATGTCACTGCGCATTGCACACGGCCAGCACCGCAGCGCTGCCACCACGCATTGCACAGAGCCCAGCAGCGCATAGAGAAGCGATGATGGTGCACTGCACGATCCGCAGCCGTGCACGGACGCTGGCCAGGCTGGGAGAACCGCCCGGACGCTGTCGCCGCACGGCACACACGTCACCCCGGGTTGCGCAGAGCCCGGAAGCGCTTCGGCTGTCCCCGATCCCCGCACCCAGCCCCGCACCGCCGCTCCCGGCCCCGCACCGCGCCCCACGTGGACCCCCCCCGGCTCGGCGCCTGCGCAGTTCCGCGCCCGTCCCCTTCCTCCCCCCCAATGGGCGCTGTGTGTATGTGTGTGGGGTGGGGGGGGGTGGGGGCAAGGCCCGAAGGCCGCTCCCGGCCCCGAAGGCCCCGCAGAGCCGCGGTGCCGCCCCCGCAACGCCGCCAACCCCTGACCCGATCCCGTCTCCAAGCAGCGGTGGGGCAGCGGAGTGGGGAAGGGCCGCTCGGGGGTGGCTTTGGGGCGACCGCGGGGCGGTGTGGGGTCGGAGCCGCCGCGCGGCGCTCACCTGAGGCCGCCATCTTGGCAAGAGGCAGAGAGAGGGCGAAAGGCCCGGATGGAGCCGTCACGTGATCGCCGGAGCCACGCCCACTTCCGGCGGGGCGGGGCGCGGGAAACCCGGGGTCGGGGGGGAGGGGGGCGGAGTGTGCAGTGCCGCGTGTGCGACCGGCACGTGGGCGGTGCGCCGCGGGATCACAGAGTGGTTGGGTTGGAGGCGACCTCAAAGATCACGAATCTCCAACCCCCTGCCACATGCAGGGCCACCAACCTCCACATTTCCGCTCTGGTGAGGCCGC